GTCGTGCTTCAAGATGAGCACGTCGAGATCGTTCTTCACCGCGTGACCGACGAGTATGCGCCCGGTGAGGAGGATCTTGAGGTCGTTTCGTACTTCGTCGAAGGGTCGCGCGACGTCTTTGCGGAGATGTCTAGGCTCGATGCCGGAGACAGCGGTTCGATAGTCGGTAACTTCGATTCCTCGGGGTACCTGAACGTAGGAATCGTAGACCTGATGACCATGAAAGTTGACTAGCGACACTCTTGCCAGCGCAGAGTCACGGTTGGGCTCTGGGCCAACTCCCACCATCTCACAATCTAATGCGACATATTTCCCGGGCAGCGCTACCTCTGATACGCCCTCGTTTTCTATATCGGGAAAGTCGGGGTGTGGTTCGAGGATGGACACCGCTGCCGCGGCATCCTTCGGGTCGCTCAGAAGGGGTGTCTTCTTGAGAGAGGGCATCGAGATGCTTTTGGAGAGGGTTTTGGCGTTATGCTGCTTGGCTGAAGCGCCGACAGACGCGGGCTCCTCCATCTTCTGTCGCTTTCTCGAGGGCAGAGGTTTTCGCGGTGTGTTCTTCTGGGAGCCGTTTACAACTTTTGGTGATGCATCTCCGTGCTTCCCATTGGCGTGCTGAGGTCTCTTGCGCTTGAGCGAAGACTGCTTCTCGTCCTCGAACTTCTTGTTCTTCGGAGGTGTCGCGGGCGTTGAAGGCTTGAGTCGCTGTTGCAGTATCTTCCAGTTGCAGGACAGAGTGCTGGGATCGATTGGAGCCATGTTGTCGTCACCTGCGCGGCATAGCGGTGTGAGGGTCGTCCTGTCAGTGGTTGTCGAGGATGTTGGCCGTTTGCGCTTCTCCGCTCAGTCCCCGCGAGCAAAAGTTCAAACCCGCGCTAGCACCTTCCAGATGTCGGCTCGAACGCGACGCAAAGGCCCGATCGGCAGGCGGCAACATCGCGACTGAGCCCAGCACCCCCAACATCATCGCGACATCAAACCTCACAACGAGCTCCAAAATCTACCAGAATCGAGAAACGCGTGTCGCATCGCCATGGCGCCTCGAGAAAACTCGCATGAGCCCTCCGGGACGCCGGCGCCCGTAGAAACAGGCTTTGCCACTCTTGCACAGCTGAGGTAAGTGCGACACCATGCGCACAGTTTGATTATGTATGCTGACGCGCTGCGTGCAGGACTGGCGTGAAGGCGTGGGTTGAGAAGGTACGTGACTAGCGCGCAACACCGCGATGTGCATTGCAAACCCCAGCCGCATGAACACTAAAACAGCAACACCAATACTTGTTGGTATATAGACTAACACGATACAGGATGGCGAGAAGCGCAAAGCTGAGATTTTGTCCATCCAAACCAGGCAGGGAAGGCCCAAGTTCTACGTTCATTATGAAGAGTTCAACAAGCGTCTGGATGAGTGGATCGAAGCCGAACGGATAGATCTATCAAGAGAAGTCGAGTGGCCAGCGCCCGAGAAAGCAGACAAAAAGAAGGGCACTGCCGTTAAGACCGACAAGGCACCTTCAAAGTCTGATCAGAAGAACCTCAAGCGATCCCGCAGCAAACTTGATCGTGAGATCTCAGGCACACCAGAATCGACGTCTAGCAACCTGCCAGGCAAAGCACCGAGGCCGTCCAAAGCAAGTGGCAAGGAGAACCAAGAACTCATAGTCACGAGCGAAGTCACAGAAGGCACACCGAAACCCGAGGATGAGGAGATGGACCTTGTCGACGTGCAGGATGCCGCCGCAGCAGCCAAGGCCATGCCACCCCAGGATTACTCGAGAGAAGATGAAATCGAGAAGCTACGTACATCCGGGTCTATGACCCAAAACCAGACCGAGATTTCGCGGGTGCGTAACTTGGAGAAGATCCAGATGGGCAAATTCGAGGTCGAGCCTTGGTACTTCTCACCCTACCCAGTGGACTTTGTCGACTCAGATGTAGTGTACATCTGCGAATTCTGCCTTGGTTACTATGGTGAAGTAACGCAGTTCGAGCGCCACCGCACAAAGTGCCACCTGCTCCACCCACCCGGCAACGAGATATACCGAGACGACTATGTGTCCTTCTTCGAGATTGACGGGAGGCGGCAGCGGACATGGTGTCGAAACCTCTGTCTACTTTCGAAGCTGTTCCTGGACCATAAGACGTTATACTACGATGTCGACCCTTTCTTGTTCTACTGCATGTGCACGCGCGACGAACATGGCTGCCATTTTGTGGGCTACTTTTCCAAAGAGAAAGAATCGGCAGAAGGCTACAACGTGGCCTGTATTCTCACCCTACCTCAATACCAACGAAAAGGATTCGGTAAACTGCTTATCGACTTTTCCTACCTTCTTTCCAAGCGTGAAAACAAGCTCGGGTCTCCAGAGAAGCCGTTGTCTGATCTGGGTCTGCTCGGATACCGTGCCTACTGGCAGGAGATTCTCGTCGATATTCTAATGGAGCCTGGCCGAACCGAGGCTAACATCGAGGATTTGGGTGCTGCGACGGCGATGACGACGAACGATGTGCTGCATACCCTGCAAAATCTAAACATGCTGCGATACAGCAAGAACCAGCACGTTGTCGTTCTCACAGATGCAGTTATCGCGCAACGGGAGAGACAGAAGGCGAAGGAGAAGCTGAAGGGCAAGAGGAGCATCGATCCTGATCGTTTGATTTGGAAACCACCTGTGTTCTCGGCCGCAAGCAGGACATGGAACTGGTGAACGTTTGCACTGGGTATGTTTATCGGCGCAATTCTTTTGGTCAATATTCTGATCAGTGAGCATTGGCTTGGCGCATGGTGTTGGCTGTTACTTCTTCATGGTATACCCAGACCCATATTGATATCATTGTAGATCGTCCATCGTCTGCCCAATTCGTTCCGCTTCCATCCTGGTGTTTCTTCCCTTATCCAGTGCCGTCGAACCACTCGAAGCATGTCATTCTGCTTGCGGCTTCCTCAAATCTCCACTCCAGCATCACATCTCTCTGTATCGCCTCTCCAGTGTGCGCCCCAATCTTACTAGTCTTCAACACACCCCTCAACTCTTCAACAACATCTCCCATCCTAACACCTTTTTCTCGCTCCACCCTCACACAACGCTGCTGCCAATCTCTTCTTCCATGTCGATGTAGTACATTGCGATACTCCCGATCCCACTCCGCACCGTCCACACAGTATACCTCGATACTCCGCGTCACGGGTCTCGTCAAGTATGCACTCATACTAATTCTACCCTCTTCAGTCTCGTTCTCACACCCCGCCAACCACTCATGAAATTCCCTGACGCTCATTCGCGTCCTAAAACAGATCCCCATCTCTCCCCTCGCCATCTCGTCCAGCCCACCTATCAATTCACACACATGCTTCCCCAGCCAAGGATGCAAAAACGGGACAAGCGCGGAGAGAATATTCCCATAAGCGCCTTCATGCCAAAAGTAGTAGTCATCCGAGATATTCAGTGGCAAGCCAGGATTCATCCACTGTGTTGTTCGTGCGAGAATGTCTTGGGCGAGAGAGGAAACAAATTGCGGTAGTCTGTCAAGGGTCTCGGGCTTTGTAGCAGTGGAGGGGATTGCTGATGAAGCGTCGCGAAGAGGAAGAAGGCGCGGAGGGAGATTAAGGCGAAGTGTTTCTCTCCAGTGCTTGGAGACAGAAGCGTATATGGGGAGTTCAGAAGGGGGGAGGAGAGTGACGATCTGGATGAGGAGTTCTGGGAGGAGGAATATGCGATGCATCTTGCACAGGTGTCGCAATGGAAAGATTGGACCAGATTTGGCTGTGATAGATAATTAAGGCTTTATAGTACTACATACTGGCACGAAGAGCTGAAAGCAAGCTGAATGTTCCGCATGGTATATGCTTATCGCCGTCCCCATTCCGCTTCCGCTATCTTACACAACAGGTAGTCAGCCAGCTCACGTCAGCGGTGCAATGAATGTCGTGCTCGTAACGTGCATGCGATTTCATTCGTTGAACATGATGCAAGCTGCCTATTCCGGGGAGCTAGGTGTGCTTGGCTGGATTACGTATACTTCGGGTTATGATTTGGGTTAACTACTTCGGGTTATACAGCAACATAACAAAGCCTACGCCAAAACAGCCATCAACCCCACGATACCACCCGAGCCGATAGCCACTGCCCTCAGCATGTTCAACTTGCCAAACTTGTTCAACAGCTGATTTACCTCTTGACCCTCTGCTTGAGTGCTCTCCCTCTCCGTTTGCTCTTGCGGTACACTCAAATCCTTCCATTGACTCACGTCATCCTTGCTGTCCACGGATTCATCAGCGCTTCGCTCTTTCGATCCAGCCTTCTCCCGGTACTCGGCAGACGCCCTGCTTCGGCTCCCGCCCAACTCTTCATTCTTCTTGATAAGGGCAAAGTTCGTGGGTATCATTGCCAGACCCGTGATTGGCGCGATGCTGAAAGAAAGCGCGGCGGCGGCGAGATAAAGACCTGGCTTGCCCTTGACGGTATGCTGAACGATTGAGGAAATCGAGTTGACGGAAGATGGTGGGAGAGCTTTGTAAGCGAGATAGACGAAGCCGGACGCGGATGTGAGTGCGGCTGTTGGAAACGTGTGGGAGCCTCTTGAGAAGAGCCAGCGTATCATTGGAAGAGATCGAGATGCTGGCTGTGATTGTAACATTGGAACGTCGAAGAGAGACAATGCTGCGATGCCGCCCGACGCTAACAGCGCGGTGGATATGCTCAAGATTTGTATGGTTTGTGTCGCGAACATGTTGGACGGTGGGAGATTGTGTTTTGGGATATTGTTGAGAATGGTTTCCAATTTGTGAGCGATCCAGGAGAAGCAGGTACGCTTTGCTATATACTTGAGCGTGGTGTGGTCATCCTGTTGGTACACAACGCGTTCCGCGGGTCCCGCAATGTTAGTGGTCTCAAAATGATGTCATGGTGGCCTATCATCAACCTTCGCATTTCTCGTACTAGACGAACACTTCGGTCACGGTGTGTTCCAGGCCCGACATTGTCGCAAAGTCGAGAAGTCTAATCAGTCCGCTTGCGCACCTTGGGTAGCGCGAACCAGCAAGCAAGCATAACAGCGTACATGCCAAGTGCAACGGGGTGCAGTACCCAAGTACCTTAAGAATCAGTATCCTGATGATTGCGCATAGAATAAAGGTCGCTTACCGGAAGCCTGCGCGAGAACACCAGTTGTGAAGGGCGCAACCGCACCACCTGAGCTTCCTGCTCCGCCAATGAATCCGATTGCGGTGGTCTGAATATGACGAGGCATGAGGCGCGAGAAGATGGTCTGCGCACACGGGTAGACGGGGCCCAACAACAAGCCCAACAAGCAGACAGCGACTGCATTTCCGATCAAATTTGGTGTCAACCATGCCAGAAGTTGAAGAGCTATGGTGCCGAGAGTGAGGATGACGACAAATCTCTTCTCGCCTATTCTGGGCGCAGCGTGAGTGAGTACAAAACGGCCAAGCGTGATGCCTCCCTATTCGGCAATTAGCAGAAGCGATACAGTATGCAACAAGTAAACATACCCAAAAGCCTGCTGTGACATATCCGACCTTTGCAGGGTCGCCATTACGGTAGTTGATGAGGTATGAGATGAACCAGCCTGAAATGCTCACTTCGGCTCCTTGGTATGCAAAGATGAACAAGGCGCCGAAGATGGTGACTTTGTTCTTCAGAGCGAGCTTAAGGTTCTTCATCTTGGAGGCGGCATCTTCCGCAGCAGTTTGCCTACTGGTCGTGGTCTCCAAGAGAGTTTCCTCAGAGTCTTCCGTGTATGACCAGAAAGACCATGCTGCGAAAGCGATGCAGCAAAGTCGCAGTCCGACGGTAAGGAAGTAGAAGCGCGACCACAAAATTCCTTGTGAGACGATTGCTGTTCCGATAATGGGTGCAACTATTCCACCGACGCCATAACTACCATGCGAGAGGCCAAGAATGACGGAAGGTGGATGAGTGTTCGCACAATAGACGTTGTTGAGGGCCAGGTTGATGGCTGCACCGAATCCCAAGAGAAAGAAACTGACATGGTCAGCGGTGCGTTACTGAGTTCCAAGACTGAATACTTACGATACAACGACCAAAGGATACGGAGGGGTGCAAACAAGGATAACGTATGCGGACAACTGTATCAATTCTGCTATGATCAGAGTCTTTGCCCTTCCGAACTTGCCTAGGATGGTGTTCGTGAAGAAGGCGGCAGAGATGAAACCGATGGCGTTGCCAACGAAGACCAGAGACATGATGGAGTACGAGATGTGGTAGTACGACTCCATGTACGGAATCAAAGCACCGACGACTGGCCACTGGTTAGTCTTGATTCTGATAAAGTAATCCAAAATGGCAGGTCTATATCAATGTCTCAACTCACCTGAGTCGTTGATTCCGTTTGAAAAGTAGATCAAGCAACAGCAAAGGATTCTCCATTTGGTCATCGGTTGAGCGTTCCAGGTCCTGATAGTACCGACTGCATCCTCTCGATTCGGTGTGGCCGGACGACTCATCTCGAGTTCATTGGGGGTTTTCGGGGTCTGCGCGCCCTTGGGCAATTCATGCTCTGCATACGATGCTTGTCGGCTATCGCCTGTTTTGCGAGAAGCAAAATCCACGAGTTCGACGTCCGGTAGTACACCTACATCGCCGAGCGTTTGAGGTGCTTTGCCCTTGCTCTTCTGGTATGTCGGTTCCGGGTTGGTCACGGAAACAGGTTGAATGTCGAAGAGACTGTGAAGTTTGGACGCCATGGCTCCAAGTTCCCGGTCTACGGTGTCTTTTTGCGAACTCGAAGAGAATGCAAAAGCCCTGGACTACGCGCCTTGGAAGCGTTCGTTCTGATTATGCGTCTCAGGTAGTAGGAAGTAATTGGGCGTTCAAGGTCAGTGCAAATGCGACGGCAATAGTCATAGATAAGAAAGTAGCCCGAGCGACAACGTGCCAGTGCGGGAGACCCTAGACCCTTAATACGGTAGTCCACGAAGCTTTCCACGAGAACACTACTGGCCGTAGCAAAGGCTGAGGGCGCTATCGCTGATAAATCATGGGATGCACAATTACCCTACATTACCAGATAAACACGCGCCGGCTCCGACTTGGGGCCTATCACAGCTGGCGGGTAAGTATCGTGTGGTCGCGCTGCAGCAGTGTGGAGATGGTGGACGGTCGGTAAGCAAGTCGATCATAAAGGCTGCAAAACGTTTTGCAGGGACACAGACGCGTCTAACGGTGCAGATAGCCGTTCATTCCTGGCAATGGACCCGACAGTCGGAGAGAGATTGGGTCTAGGCCTGTAACCAGAAAGGGCGCAATACCCAGAAGGTGGTGAAAGTGCGAACTTTTGGGGCTCCGAGGAGCGGAGACAACTTCCCCACCGGGCTCGGCCACACCTTCCTGCTTTGAAATTCACGACCACCCCTCCCATATTGTCTCCAGAACTACCACGACCGATAACTTCTCCACCCTGCTTACCAAAGCTCAAACCCAACATGGCCCGTCCAAAGCGCAATGTCCTTGCCACCATAGACAGCACAATCACACCGCCTGACGCTTTGGCGCCGAATCACGCGATCGCGCGCATCACCAAAGCCGAAGGCAAGAACATCTATGCCGCCGAGCTGCCAGATGGCAAGCCTGTCCTTGCCGAGCTAGAAGCGAGGTTCAGATCAACAGTATGGATCAAGAGGGGCAGCTATGTGGTTATAGATATGTCTGCTCTGGCGGACCGTGAGAACAAGCTGGATGGAGAGATTGTGAACGTGGTGCGCGACGAGAAGGCGTGGAGGAAAATGAGCTACTGGTATGTTTCCAGCCGGGTATCATGTAGTATGTGTACAGAGCGCTAACAATAGTATACAGGCCCAAGGAGTTCGTAAAGAAGTCGACGTACGTCCAAGATAGCGACGACGAGGAATCGACCGTCGGCAAGATGCCGCCCTCCGACTCAGACGAGGACTGAGTTCTTCGTCGCATCACTCGGCGTGCGCATGGTCCTCCTCGATTATACCCTTCGTCACGCCCTCGTACTCCTTCCTCGTTCCCCACCATACGCCCGCGACCGTAATCGCTAGAACGCCCACGACCGTCGCCGAGCTTGCCGATGTACTCGGATACACATTCCACGCCCATTCTTGCGCGCCCCATAATGCATATACCACGGCTGGATTGAACCCTGCTTTCCACAGCAAGAACGGCGTGCACCACGCGACATACGCGTAGAACTGGTAGTGCAGACTACGCGCGCATAGTAGGCCAATAGTCATCGCGGTCAACATCGTCGTCATAATGAAATCCGGGGTGATCTTGCTGGACATGGTGTCCTGGTCCCGGGGCTCAATGGCTGGAATACAAAGCTTGAGGAATTCCTTGACATTGCGCTTCGAGGGCTTGATCCAGCGGGTTCGCGCGTACCAGATGAGGAGGCCAACATGCAGAGCGAGTAAGCCAATGGCGAAGGGGCGTGAGAGGAACGTAGATTCCGGGACGAAGCGCCAGTTCACGGTCCATTTGTACAGGAAGGCACGGCTGAGCTCGAAAGCGCGGGCGAAATAGCTTGGTGCGCGCTTCCTGAAGGGGTAGCCATACAGAACCTACATTTTGATTAGCATCAATTGAGAAGAGTCCATGATCGATGATTTACTTACCGAAACCTGCACGATGATCATAGCCTGTGTCAAGGCTTCTCTTCCACCCAGTTTCATGACCATGAGAATACCCATTGCTGGTAGAGGCAGCAACAGGCTCATCTTGACGTTCAGCCCTGTGCTATACAGCGCGCTCCCCAGATGCCATTGATCGCGTTGGTAGCAGAAGACAGCCAGCCAGAAAAACAGCACCGCGAAACAGTCGTTGAAGCATCGTAGCATGAAAATGCTATGCATGCGCTTTGAGAGAATCAACAGCGGGAAAATATACGGTGGAACCTATCAACACGTCAGCTTCCAACTTCAATAAGCTAGAATGGGAAAGTACTCACCCTCGCCTTCCTATAACATTGAAACACCACACCAAGCGTAAGCAAATACACTCCCGCGAAGATATACTGCGCGAGGGCGATATCCCGCCCTTCATCCGTCCACTTGTAAAGCTGCTTGTAGATCCACACATGCGCACCAGGGTACACGAGCGGACCCGTCGAACCAGCAATATTCTTATAATCGCGCTCGCCTTTCAGAAAGATGGCTATTTGCTGCATGTACGTTGTCCAGTCAATCTCAGTATCTAGAAACCTCGCTGTTAGGACACGTGGTTCGTTTTCGGTGAGTGAGTAAGGAGCACGAACAAGGTATCTTCTCGATTATCACGCCTGAAAGCGCGGCGTCTGCTACGAGCAGGAGCGGAGTCATCCATCTTGTGTGATCGGGATTATAGGCTAGGTCTTTTGCGCGGGCGAGGAGCGACATGGCGGCGTTTGTTGCACGCGGTTTTGGTGATGGCAAGTTCGGGGGTTAACGTTGGTGTTATAGTTCGCGTCGCGTGTCACGTGGGAAGGAGGTTTGAGGTTTCAAGGATGGCAGTTTCGCGCGACGTGTGTTTCAGGCATCATTTTTCTCGTGCGAGCCGTGGATGGTGGTTTGACGTGGACTGCACGTTTTGTATGGAGTCAGACGTTGTTGCCCTCACGTCCTGGTGTTGTGCTATTTAAGGCAAGCGCGAGGTTTGCGCGTCCAGCACTCCGTTACTCTTCGTGTCAATGCCCTACACGCGATGTTCAATTGGAAGGTTGGTTTTCCGATGATTTCGGTCGTCTTTTGTACTCGCAGCTCAAGTACTTTTCTCACACAAATGTGGCACGATGCCGTCGTCGTATTCATAGTGGCACAAATGATGAAGAAATTAACGTTGCATTAGGTCTAGGCTCTAAGGAATGTCTATACAGGAAGCGCTGAGATAATCATGAGCACTGAGAAAGGTCAAAGCCTATTCTCAGTACTGGCTGGGTGCTGGGCACGCAGGGGCGGCGGCGGCGGGAAGCGGGACGAAGGTGACATAGGCATCGGAGACACCTTGGCAGACGAAGTCCTTAGGGCCGTTGCCACCGGCACGGCAGTAGCTGGGAAGAGTGGTGGTACCGACATAGGTGAGGCTGAGGGAATGTTAGCAAATTTGAACGAACTGCGCACTCAAAGGTATGGGAAGAACTTACTCGTCGCTGACACCCTGCTTGATGATCAGACCACTACGGTCGCTTGAGAAAGCGAAGTCGATGAAGCTGTTCTCGCCGCAAGAGTAGAACTTGTTGTCCTCAAGCTTGTCGGCTTGGGAAGAGCAGTTGAAGTCGAGGGTACCTCCGTTGGTAGCCTTGATGTTGAAGCCGAAGCTGTTGTAGTAGGTTCCCTCAGGCTTGCGTCCGAAGAAGTTGGAAATCTTCCAGACGTAGTCACCCTGGGTAGCAACTGGGCAGGATGCGTCGACCTGGCGGGCCTCGAGAGGTGCGGCGCTGGCAACAGCAGCGGCAGCGAAGAGAGAAGCGATGGTGGTGAACTGCATCTTGATGGAGTTGGTTTGAAGTTGGGATGAAGTTGGGATGAAGTTGGGATGAAGTTGGGATGAAGTTGGGATGAAGTTGGGATGAAGTGTTGGAAAGTGTGGTAGGTTGTAGTTGAGTGTGAGAGTTGGTGGTTGATGGTGGCTAGAAAGTGAGATACTCACTGGCATTATATAGTCATCCCACCTCGTATCTGGGGTACTGTACTCCTGCCACGATCATCATGTCCGTCTCGTCCCAAGGTTCAATACGAGAAGATTGACACCAGGCGTCACCCTTGACCTTACCCACTAGAACATACGAGAAAGGTGTACCATGAAATTTCTCCAGGGACACGAGCCTCAGACCATGCCGAGAGCGCCGAAACCACACTCTACCCCAATTTTTGGAGCCTCAGTACCCTTGCCAACGGTGTCACGAACCAGTAGCGGCATCCGGGGTGACCGGATGAGGCGACAGGCATGTCCTATCCGGGCAGTTGGCAGCCCTAGCCGAGCTTGGATCGTGCTAAACATACGAGATGTGACGTCTAGTAGGATGAACCAGGTCTGCACAGTGGCATTGGGCGCTGCACTGACTGGCCGATCGGCTGTGCAGGGCCTTGGTTCGGAAAACTAACGGCATGACGTCCTGGGCTATATGTATTCTAATTGCTGTTGCAACACCGTACATGCGATGGTACCTACGCAGGCGACTGCTTCTTCCACGTTCGTATCGACGCGGTATACCCTAGAGTGCTCGCGAACGACTATACCTAGGTAGCTTAGCGACACATTGGAAACGTAAAAGATACATCCTATGTTCCTAAACTCGAGCCTGAGTGCTGTGGACCTGAGGAAGTCGGCCGCGTGAATGATGACTGCAATCTCGTAGAGTTCGATCGGTCCGTTCCCGAACGACCTCATCGTCCACATAAATGGGTGGTCCGAGTGTGGGGACGAGCGTAATATCAGTAATCGGCGTTGCCTCCATCACCTTGAATAATTCCAAGGTTAGCACGGAGATCACTCGTGAACGAAGGATCGAAATACGACGTCGCTTGGGGTTGAACCGAGATGGTGGAAGGTTGAGCCTTGACATCTGGCAGGAATGGCATCATCGAGCCGGTTGTTGCGGCTGTGGCTGCCGATCACCTGCCTCGCTCGCGCCCAGGGTCCACGCTCAAAGACGGAGCCAGGAGCTAAACAATGACACCAACACCACTGACGCACCATCGGAGTCTGTCCGGCGGCACGCTATATTTGCTATTTTTGGACCCGCGATCGTGGGCTCACGCTCAACGCTGAACGAAAACTTTACGACCCAGGTGCACATCTACCTTCAAGGACTGGCATGCGTGACAATGAACTCAAACTTACTGCACCCACCGTGCGCAAGGCGACTATCAAGGTACACAGAGATCTGAGACGGCACTCGAATATTTTACGGTTCCGTTCCGTCATTCTCGGAGATCTCGTTGTTGCTTTTGAGACCTGACGGCATCTGCCTTAATTTCGATGGATGACTGAACATCTTGCTAACCTCGTCGGAGTCTCTCGGGTAGACAATACTGCACTGGCGTCGATAGGACCGATAAACCATTGAATGTATGGGCGCGGCAACGATGCTCGAAGTCACACAATACTCTTGCTGCTGATCTGTGGACAAGGAAGAGACAGTCACGTCGTGATTAGCGAAAGCTGGTTGGCAAATCCTTTAAGTTCTACCGCTCATGAACGTGGCTGGAGTCATTCGACCATCTTTGATGCTGGGTGCCAGCGGATCAGTAAGGGCACACGTCTTACACAAGATGACACGTGAGACCCTGCCACAATACACATGAGCAGAAGGAGGGGTAAGATCGGATCAACACTGAAGAGCACACCATATGTACCTGTGTTGTACATCCAGTGAGTTTCGAAGTTCGCTTGACGCAAGATGATGCAGGAATTTTCCAGTGTAGCAAATTTTGAGATCGAGCTTTCAGAAGCAAAATTGCATGTAGGGGCAAGAAAATCCGAGATGTACCACCATCTGTCATACGCGGCCAGTTACGAGTATCGTTACAATCTACTGATTGCGGAATGTGTCGCAAGAAGAGGAGGTGTACCACAGTAAGTACCCGTCCTGCTGCCGTTGCTCACCGGTCGGACCACAAGGTCAAGATACTCAAGTCAGCAAATTGATGGCAACATGCATGGAATGCAGTACACGAGGAACAGAACATCTCCCAACAACGGGTACGTACGCAGGACGCTGGCTTCCCCACACGTTATCTTGAGTATAAACAGCCGACATGGGCACTGTTTCATGCTCGTCACTCGCGGTTCCATCCGCTCTTGCTGCGCTTCCTATACGTTCCGTTATTGTCTGTCTGCTTGACTCATGGATTCTGTTGAGCTCGAAGAACCCTATGACGAGGAAGGCAATTTTAGCTATGACCATAGCGAGGATGACCTCGACAACGATTACACAGGCAGTGGGGACGAGCAAAGTGGTGAGGCCCGATACGCCAACAGTGAAAGCAATGAAAGCGATGAAGCTTCCGATGACGCTTCAGCAAATGTCACGGATGGTGAGCTTAGTGACAGTGTGATTAGCGAAAATCTTTCGATGTCACCAAGCGATGATGACGAGGAAGAGGAGGACGAGGAAGATGGAGAGCTCGAGACAGGCAGCATGGAAAGCGATGTTAGTGGCTCAGACCAAGAGGACGAAGAGGAGGTGAATGACACAGAAAGCGATGTTAGTGGCTCAGACCAAGGGGATGATGAGGAGGTAAATGACACGGAAAGCGACGATATTAGCTCAGATGGCGAGGCAGTATCAATCGACGAAGAAGTCATCGATCCAACGAGCGAAGAGAGCGGCTCGGATAGCGAAGCAGATGATTCGACTGGAGAGGGCGCTGGGGAAAACACCACAGTAGAGTCTGTGGGATACAGCGGCATGTGCAACAATGACAGCACTACACACTATGAGCAAAAAAACGTCTTGAAGAGTACGCGGAGTAGCCCTGGAGGGTGGAAGCAGTTCAAAAAAGGACAGGATACCGCACCTATCCACCATCACAGCACCTATCAAGCTTATCAACTCAATGACAACTATCAATCTACGAATAACCATCAAGCAACCAACAATTATCAGCTGACAAACACCCACCATACGTACAGCGACAGTCCGAAGACCAGCAATTCCTCGACGATCGTTCAGAGCCGAAAGAAAGTTCCAAGATGTCTCCCTGAAGTACAAAATGTGCTCGATGCGTCGACTCTCAATTGCAGCAATATGCCAGCTGGCGTGCAAAAGCTCGCGCACCCAGACGCAGTGTCGTCCAAGATGTCTAAAGACAACACCCGCAGAACCAACGAAGCTTATCTCTCGCACCGTACCAAACCTAATCCTGGTCATGCTGAAGTACCACTTGAAACCAAGCGTCCTCGAACATCGAAGAAAGCTGGGAAGTCGAAAGTCGGCAACGAAATCAGTATGACTGACGAGCTCTTCCTTCCGGTTATATCAACTCAGTCTACCAGAAGCAACCCAAAGCCCACAGCAACAAAACGCTCTCCTCTCATGCACGAGACGGAAAGAATGCCTGTAGCAACTGCAAGTCACATACCCAGCAAGAAAAAGCGAAAGCCTACGGTCCTTGAGATGGAGGGATCTGCAATCCAAGTCCCCACCAACACCAAACAGCAATCCAACAGCAAGGCCAGCGGTACGAAGTTGTCCAAGAACAACGCACTTCGCTCTCATCCTCGGCCACCCCCTGCATCTCTCAGCGACACAGAAGAGACATGGATCCCTACCAGCTTCTCCAACCCCCCTAAGGTTCTTCTCAATGGCATCTTCGCTGGAGTGATGATGCAGAGGCGAAAGTCTACAACAAGCATATTTGATCATGCATCGCATGCAATCATCGGCTTCAGTATGTCGGAAGAGCAAGGCAAGCGGTATAAGGAGGCTGGGATGAAGAAGTACAAGGCGGCCAAGGATGGTTTTGCACTGTGGTGGAAGCCTTATGCGCCATCGGCGGATTACTTTGATAGGGCAGACGAAGTTGAGTGATATGGAAGGCTGGCCTGTGAGATTCCGGATGATTGCCAATTCTTTTTGTCATGCTGTTGTCAACGTCACATGATGGAGTACCTAATTAACGTAGCCTTTTAATTCATCCCTTCCCAATCAGAGACCGCTAAGTATGCTGCAATGGTCGGAGCGAAGAAGCATGCAAAGCCAAGCCTCTGACGTAGTACCCCAGCCTAAAGCCTGCCCATATGTGGTGCAGGCTAAAAGCGACCATACAGACGATGCCATGAGATAGCTGTAATGCCGACGAACCGGTCAGCACCTCGTAAGATGTACACCGATCAGGACAACACCTAGCCGAACGTCATATGCCTCTTCCAACTCAAATAAGAGGTCCTCTTACAAGAACGCCTAGATCACCTTCCCAATTTTGCTTTTTGTATTTCCAATAACAACAAGATTCATTGGTTACGCACGCGATTCTGCAATACCTACCCCTCCATCAGCAACATGTCAGGCATCTTCAACCTCTCAAAGTACCTTCCCCGCGCCTCTCCTCATCATGTCCAGCCTTGCGATAGCGAGAAATGCGCCGAAGACTTTGGTCTCGACGTAATGCTCGTTTACCCAGAGTCGAAAGAGTCGGCTGAAGACTGGCCAGCAAAGTTCCGAGCTATCACGAAGTCAAATGTGTATAGCTTTCGTATGCGGCCAAAGGCATTGTACCCAGAGAAGGACTCCCAAAGCTCTTCAGAAGAGGGCGCAGATCTGCCGACTGATCCAAAACCAGAAGGCGCTTACGACAGGTCATCGACAAGACCGGTTGTATTTGTTGCTGAGACACCCGAAGCTCGAACTGCGTATGAGGAAGTGCGCCAGCCTGAACCGATCGTACTCGACCACATGAGAAGACGAATACCTTTTGCTGGACGTGTCTATGGTGTGATCGAGCTGCGACGTCAATCCAATGTCAAACTCACATGCATGCTCGCCTGGGGGCAATGGAGCTTGCACAACATCGTGAAGAACTACTACGGCTGCCGACGTTCGACCGACAAGTGTCAGTCTGCGAGACAACCGAGAATCGTGACCAATCCGTCAACCGGCTTCGTTATCTTCGTCACGGTCATGTCCATGTTGGACTACTGGATGCAGTACGACATGAATCGAGGGGACTATTACCAGCGACTATGTCTGGTTACTGGAATCACGATGGGCTTCTTGTTGAGTCAGCCTGGTCCGTCCATGGAATCGTTGCCTACGTTGATGGCTGCGATGAACTTGGCGATGACTTGCAGCGCTTTTGGGCACTTGATCTGGCGGAAATATTTCAGCACGTGTGAGAGGAGGCTGGAGCAGAAGCTAGATGAGTGGAAAGAGGAGGCTCGCTGTACCCAAATTTACTCGCGGAAAGACTCCAAGCTCGAATGCGAAGCCCAGAAGCCCCACGTTGTCAAGTTCCACGAGCTGGACTAGACGACGGATAAGCCAGAGGGGAATTCGCGGCGAACAGTCCACTTCGGTCATGTACTTCGAGTGTGAGGGCGGCTTGGGTCAGGGTATTGGGCAGTATTGTTATTCTTGATTGTGCGCGGGTCTACTCCCATTGTGTGCCTTTTAGTCGTTGCATGAGATATTCCACTTCCACCTCCTTTGTCAGGGGAATGACCCAATCCTGTGTTATCTGTTAGTACGCGGTAGGAACAAATGAGGATATTGAAGGTACCTTGTACATGCCAACGACCGCGTCTGCATTCACCTTGGACGAGCCGTTCGCGCCCAGGTCCGGGTCTGTGCCGTACGTCTTGGCCTTTAACCTCAGTCTCTCCAGCACCTTCTTCTCTACCGCAGCATTTGTGATGGCCTCGTCGATACCTTTCCTGTCTTCCTCCTTGATCAACTTCACGAAGCGCTCCGTCTCCTGCTGGAACTTGGCCTCGGCAACGAACTTGCCAAAGTGTATGCGCCGCGACAGGGACTGGATGGTCATGACATCGCAGGTGGCAGAGGACCCGTAGTTCTCCTGCGACTCTCCCCTGTCCTCGCGGTCTGTCTGCAGGCATGCGGCGGGCAGGATGTGCTTGATGTAGCAGTCCTTCAGCTGGGCGTTGACGTTGACATCGTTGGGGTGCAGGATCTGCGGGTAGTTGAGGGGCTTGAGGATGGGCTCCTGGAGGACCTCTGGGAAGAAGGGGTATTCGTCGGGCGACTGGTAGCGGCGGACGAGGGACTGCAGGCGCTCCTGCTCGCGGAGCATCCAGTCGAACAGGCTGGTCTCGGGCTCGCCAATGTCGACGCCGCCGGGCACGTAGATGGTCCGGTTGAGGGGGAACTGCACGCGCTCGATCAGATGGAAGGTGATTGTGTCCTCGAGCCGACTGTCTGCTGTCAGTAGGACTCAGGCGCGCATGGCGGGGAGGCGTACATGAGCTGGAAGCGGATGTTGGCCAGGTCAAGCGCCTTGGACGCGTCGGAGAGGTCAATCGCGTCCATGGTTCCTCCCAGTTATTCCCAAAGCGTGACTATGCGGGTGAATGATGTTTGCAGCCATGGCAGTCCGGTCGTGTCCCGAGCATCGGCGTGCTCTTCGGCGGATGACGCAGGCGGGTGCCGACTGGTGAGCTCGATAGTCACTCCCCTCCGCAACACCACTATCACCATCTCGAGCACCCGACGCGCCTCCCGCCTCACCGCCTATTGGCCTTTTGTAGCACACGCGAGCACCCGGTCTGAGATCCTAATGCGAAGATAAGGATGCCCTAGCGACGTCTCCTTCACTGCGCCGCCCGTTGAGTCTCCCGCCACGCCTGCTCGCATGGCCTCGTCCACCGCCCGCAATGGATCCCCAGGTCGCGGCCGGTCCACCAGCCCGCGCTCGCCGCGGTACTCGCAGGCCTTTGACGACGACGACGAGAGCAGCTTCATAGACTCGCTCCCCGATGTAGCCCCACCGCACCTTCCCTGAGCCCACGGTGATGCTAATGCTCGCTAGACCCGCCATCTGCAAGCTTTTGGCAAAAAAGTCACAGCCACCGCCGGCAGCTTGATAGGCGCCGAAGGAGTCACCCAGCACTACCAGAACGCCATTGGCGAGCTCCACCGCGAGCTCAGGCGCCCGCTGATGCAGCGCTCCGTCTTTTCCTTCGCCCAGACCACCCCCCGCGAGATCGTGCGCTCGCGAATCTCCGTCCCCGAGATCCAGCAGCGCGCCCTCGCCTACATCCCCAACGACCTGCTCTCCAACATCCCCGAGGACAACGCCGAGTTCTCCCTCTTCCAGGGCTTCGAGGCCTCGCTGCCCGACGCCCCCGACAGCCATGCGAAGAAACACGGCCGCCACAACGCGCGCGGCCAGCGCCTGATCGGGGGCGGGGAAGACGACGACGATCCCAATGTGCCCCCCTCGATGCAGAAGCTGCGGAAGCAGCGCAACAGCATGGGCCACCGCCTCGAGATGATGGGCGTGCGCAAGCACATGTGCGTCGCCGAGATACACGAAATCGACAACAAGATCGCCAACCTCAATACCATGCGCAAGATGGTCCTCGACCGTCTGGCGGGGCTTGAAATCGAAGAGGGCGAGCTGGAGCAGGACCTGCTGACCGTGGACAACCGCATCGAGGACCTGCAAGAAGAGCTGGACGACGAGGCTGCACTGGCGCCCAAGACGGCAGGGTCGCAGACAAGCGACGAGCAGTCAGAAGGCAAGGGCGAATTCATGTCCGAGTCGATATACCAGAAGATACCCTCCTCGCCCAAGACGAAGAACAAGGCCAAGCGGCTGTCAAAGAGAATGTCCATGCCCGTACTACACGAGCATCTGCAGTCAGGATCTAAGATCAAGGAACTGCCCGCGCATATGGACGCCATCACCGCCATGGACTTTGACGCTCCGTGGGGCATGATGGTTACCGCATCGCTAGACGACACAGTACGAGTATGGGATCTGAGCGCCGGACGGTGCATTGGAATGCTCGAGGGGCATCTCTCCTCCGTGCGCTGCTTACAGGTCGAAGAAAACATCGTCGCAACCGGTTCAATGGACGCGTCGATAAAACTCTGGGACCTGAGCAAGGCCGAATACGCGCCCATGGACAACCGGATAAACAAGCCCGATGAGGAGAGCGACGATGGTCTGGCATTTGAGAACTCGGAAGACGCACCGCCTGCGCCACCGTCGACCAGCATGCAAGACTGTCCCCTCTTCTCCCTCGAATCACACGTCGACGAAGTCACTGCGCTACATTTCCGTGGCGACACTCTAGTTTCCGGTTCTGCAGATAAGACACTACGGCAATGGGATCTGGTCAAGGGACGATGCGTGCAGACGCTCGATGTCCTCTGGGCTGCCGCCCAAGCCACAGCTACGAACACCTCCAACAGCACATGGCGACAGACGGGACGCTCTGCAGACTCCTCTGCCGACTTCGTAGGCGCCATACAGTGCTTCGATGCTGCACTTGCTTGTGGTACCGCCGACGGTATGGTACGTCTATGGGATCTGCGTAGCGGCCAAGTTCACCGAAGTCTTGTCGGTCACACAGGCCCCGTTACAGCCCTGCAATTCGACGATGTCCATCTCGTGACCGGTAGTGCCGACAGGAGTATACGCGTAAGTCAATTATCTTTCCTCTGACTGTTCCCTGACTAACATGCACAGATCTGGGATCTCCGAACGGGCGCCATCGCGGACGCCTACGCTTACGACCACGCCATTAGCAGCATGATGTTCGACTCACGCCGAATCGTGTCTGCAGCAGGTGTAGACGTAGTCAAGGTCTACGACAAGACAGACGGAAGGCACTGGGATTGCGGACCCGGAGCTGACGAGAACGACAAGACGACACACTCCATCATCGAACACGTCAGGATAAAGGATGGCTATCTGGTTGAAGGACGTAGAGACGGTACCATTGGTGTCTGGTCGTGTTAGCAGAACTATAGAGGTAGAAGCGATGAGGATTGTATATAAGAACGGGCTGCGCATATGCCAGTCATGTAAATGGCAAAGTGTTGTACTGTCGCAAGATACTCATTACGATATCACTATCAATCAATTTTATGCCACTGCAAGCACCAAGATTTCCTCCACCCAACGTCAGTCGTGATGCATGCGGGCCGCTTCCTGACGGGATATCGATACAGATAGTATCCACAATGCCGTGCTAAACTCAATCAAACACGAAGTCTGCCCGGGCGGGATGCATGCATCGTGAGGAACAAGTTCAGTACACTAGTAGAGAATACATCAACTCACAGTGATGTTTAGAGATGTATCCGTATTAGTTGTAGGCTGTATCTCACTTTCTGGCTATGCAATAGAGACATGGAAACATAGTTCTGATAGGTATAGTAGACGTTATAAGCACGCGGCAGACGGGGCCAGTGGAAGCTTGGTTGGTGGTGGAACCATGCAAGGATGGCCCGCGAAGCTCCGATCTGCCATGGTGACGTAACGCAGAACCCCGATTGACATTTCCGCGCTCTGAGACGCCTATCCCTGCTCCCACGCCGCCGTGGCATGTGCATACTACATTCGCTTGTCCTATCTGCCTATGCCTTCTCATCTCTAATTTTGCAATTGAACCGTCAATTGCTGGCACCCCTCGCGTAGGCGCCTACCTCGATCCCATCTTATCGCCGGCTTCCTCTGCCGGTTCCACGTGCTCCGCCAGAGCTCCGAATTCCCGCCATGCTCCCACGACAGGCCGCGTCGCTGTCGCGCGGGTACAATGCCACGTCCAGAGCCTCAATTCTCTGCAGACGGTTACCGCGAGCGACCAACACACAATTCCGCACATCCTTCAGCAATGGGAGCCCAGCATCCGCTGCGAGACGCGCCGTCGTGCAGACTTCACAATTAAGCAGGCAAACCCCCACCACGACCGCGGTACGAACCGTCTCGACGAAACCCCTTCAAGCTCCGCGATCACGCCTCGCCCGGTATGCGTACCGAACAGCAGCCATGCTTGGCTCTTTCGTCGCGGTTAGCGGTGTCTTGGTCATCGCCTTCTTCGTCTACGACGCCTACACATACAACGAGGACCCTATCGCGACCGATATCCCCGTATCCGAGCTCGCACTCAGCCCGAGGAGAGGTGGACCCAAGAACCTGCCTATCGCCGACCACTTCGTAGACGACGACGAAACGCCCGAGAATAAGAAACTCAAGCACAAGCCAAAGTTGGTCATACTGGGTACGGGCTGGGGCAGCGTGGCCCTTCTGAAGCAGCTGAACCAGGATGACTACCACGTTGTCGTCATATCGCCGTCCAATACCTTCCTATTCACGCCGATGCTACCTTCCGCTACCGTCGGAACGCTAGAGCTCCGGTCCCTTGTCGAACCAGTACGAAAGATTGTCAGGAGAGTGCGCGGGCACTTCCTAAAAGCAAAGGCCGAGGACGTGGAGTTCTCTGAAAAGCTCATCGAGTGCTCAGCTGTAGACGCCAAGGGCCAGGAGCAACGGTTTTATGTCCCCTATGATAAGCTCGTCGTCGGAGTCGGATCAGTCACAAACTCGCATGGTGTCAAGGGTCTCGAACACTGCCATTTCCTCAAGGATATCAGCGATGCCAGGATCATCCGTAACCAGGTCGTCAAGAACCTCGAGTTCGCGTGCCTACCGACAACCTCAGACGAGGAGAGGCGAAGACTTCTATCGTTCGTAGTTTGCGGTGGTGGACCTACCGGCGTAGAGTTCGCGGCCGAGCTCTTCGACATGCTCAACGAGGATCTCTGCAAGCTCTACCCTAAGCTTCTACGCAACGAAATCTCCGTCCACGTTATTCAGTCCCGAAGCCACATCCTGAACACCTACGAAGAGGCTCTATCTCAGTACGCTGAGCAACGTTTTGCCCACGACTCGGTCGACATCCTCACAAACTCGCGCGTCAAAGAAGTCCAATCGGACAAGATCCTCTTCTCGCAAAAGGACGAGAACGGCAAAGTGGTTACCAAGGAGATCCCCATGGGTTTCTGTCTATGGTCAACTGGTGTTGCGCAGACCGATCTCTGCAAGCGACTCGCCGCCAAACTCGACGGACAGAACAACAAGCACGCACTAGAAACCGACACACATCTTCGTCTGAATGGCTCGCCTCTCGGTGACGTTTACGCTATTGGTGACTGCGCAACCGTCCAAAACAACGTCTCTGATCACATCGTCAACTTCCTACGCACGACTGCCTGGGAGAAGGGCAAGGACCCCGAGAAGCTACAGATCTCGTACTCGGACTGGCGCGGCATCGCCAAACGCGTCAAGCAGCGCTTCCCACAAGCAGCAAACCATCTTCGCCGCCTAGACAAGCTGTTCGAACAGTACGACAAGGACAAATCTGGCACTCTGGACTTTGGCGAGCTTAGAGAGCTGCTCTTCCAGATCGACTCGAAGCTCACATCCCTACCCGCCACCGCCCAGCGCGCTAACCAGCAGGGTGAATACCTCGGTCGCAAGTTCAACAAGATCGCCCAAGCAGCCCCCGGCATGGCTCTCAATAACGTGGACTACGGTGACCTGGACGATGCGGTGTACAAGGCTTTCGAGTACAAGCATCTCGGTAGCTTGGCATACATCGGTAACGCAGCCATCTTCGACTACAACGGCTACGGCTTGAGCGGTGGTCTACTAGCCGTCTACCTATGGAGAGGCGTCTACTTTGCACAGAGTGTTAGCCTCAGGACAAGGTGTTTACTCGCCATGGACTGGACCAAGAGGGCGTTGTTTGGACGAGGTATGTCATTCCTTTCTTGGCAGTGTATGATTGTAACTCAGCTAACATGCAATAGATTTGATGAACTTCTAAGCGATACATGGTTTACTTTTGCGAAGCGTAGATCGATAGACCGATGACCGTTTTTCGGTACCTCATCTTCCTATGTAGATTATTCCTTGTTCGATCTCTTGAGGGCGGCTTGATGCTGTCACTTTTACCAATATATTTTACCTTGTTCAGCAGTATACATGTAAGCGTCGGTGAAACTTTTGGCTTTGCTCTACCGAGCGTATAGCTGAGTCCACGCAGCGGCGTACCTACTGTAACTCGTCTCACCGCTGTCTTCCCATGATCATGTGCACAACAACATGGTTTCAATATCGTTGTTCAATGTATGCTGAGTTGAATAGACGGTCTACATCCCATGACGACGAGGTACGGGCACAGAGAGTAAGCCGGGTCACGCCATGGAAATAACGGGCATACAAAGTAAGCCGGGTCACACCATAGGAATACTCCCCTCTGCCCCACACTTCAATGGAGTTTTGTCTTTGTGTTAGCTGAGCCGGGATCTTTGTGCTTTCAGTGCGATCAATAGACTTGAAAATACACCGAGTTGCTGTGCAACGTTCTCGTGGTGGAGGTAATGCGGATAGAAAAACCTCACGCCACTCGTCAGCGTACGACGAGCGTACACAGAATACACCGTCTTTGGTAGAGGTGGTACTGCTTCGAGGATGTGTGCTGGTACAGGTATGATACGGGGGTGGGCAGAAAAAGAGCAAGTGAGTCGATGAGGATGTATAAGTATCACCGGCTTCTATCCATCTCTAGAAGCAAAATAGACAGCATTCTCGACAATCAAACTTCCAATATCAACATCCATCGCTTTGCTCCGAAAGTTATCTAAATCCTTCTCAAGCAAATATGCCAGCCACCACCACATCCATGCTTTCCACCCTCCTCCTCGCCATTCCTCTACTCTTCCCCTCCGCTGCCACTGCCGCCGCAGTCGTCAAGAAAGACGTATCATCCGCAGTCGTAGTATCTCCCGAGGCAGCCCTCGTAGACGAAGCCGTCACCTTCACCTCGTTCCCCAGCCGCTCTGAGTGCCTGTCCAACCAGAGCGGAACCCGATACGCGAACCCCGATGCCGGCTGTTACCATTTGCCCGGGCAATCCATGGATGTCAATGGCATAGCTGGTGGTTGCCGTGGTATGTATTACCGTCTCTATATGGTTGAATGCGAAAGCATGAGAGCGCTGACTTGTCCTGCTTAATGCAGTCTTCATTTACGAATCCGAAAACTGCGATGGCCGTGAACGGCAGGTCGGATCTGGAGAGATCTGTGTGGATATTGAGAGCTTCAATACTATCAAGGTTTTCTGTGGTTGAGCGGGGATAGCTCTGGGAGAGTTGTTGGGGCTGTATCCTGAGGATGTCGAATGAGATTTGTGGTGGAAGTGAGGTCTGGTTTTGTGCTGTCGTTTCTTTGATCATTGCATTCAACATGCGACTCTTATATTTGTACCGAGAAAACCCCAGTGTGGATAGCTAGGCGAATGAAGCTGCGTCGCGCTGATGAACGTACTCTTAATAACTTATGTACCCGTGAACATGCAGTGTAGTCGAGGCGTGTATATCGGCTGCCCCGCAATGCTGTCTTCAAGGCTCTTGCTCATCCATCGCTTCAAGCCGCGTGCGGACCATGTTAGGGTTCGAGTGTCCTTGTTCGTCGGTCCAGCATTTCAACACTTCTTCGCGCATAATCCTGCGTGGAGCTCTCTTGCCTGTGAAAAGTTCGAATTGAGCGAAACCTTGTTCAGGCAACAGATCAAGGCCATCCAAGCAGATCCATGATGCTGACGCTTCTTCGCGAACTTGTCTTGTCAGTGGCGTATTGAGAGTTCGGTAGGCAAGTTCTATCACTACACCTCCAGAAGGAGATTGCATCCATTGAGTGGGCAGCGTAAAGTCAGGTGATGGTTCATCCCCTACAGGATGCGTAGGTATACATGATACAATGACTGTCGGTGCACGGAGATCCTTTGGCCAGGGATCGGTCCTTGACTCAAGTATGCGAAACGTAGGTTGAGATCCCTGGACGAACGATGGGAAGAGCTTTGCCGCCGATGGGCTTGCAGCTAATGCGGAGAAGTAGCTGACGAGCTTCTGCGCATTCTTGACTGTTCGGTTGAAGACCACGATGTTCTTGATGCCAAGCTGCAACATGGCATATATCGCCGCCCTAGCCATACCTCCTGACCCAATGACCAGGCTGGAAGTGGTTGTTGGCCGCACAGCATTAGCGGGAGACAGACCTCTTCGTATGCAAGATCGGATGCCTATCCAATCCGTGTTGTCGCCAAATAGCGCTTTGACAGGTCCGGATTGATTGCGCTCCTGGTAGAGCTCAACGCCATCCGCATCGGGAATGCTGCCATCCTCGTTGAGGTGGCGAATTGGGAGAAGCGTGTTGACTGCTCCAATCGCTCGAGCGTGGCGACTTAGCGAGTGAGAGAGAGCAACCGCATCGACTTTGAATGGCTGGCTGACTGCAGTGCCGCCAAAGTTCGGCCGTCGTATCAACTCCCGTATGTTTTCGTCCAGTGTCGCAGTTTGGAGGCGGTCAAAGTGGTGAGGCATACCACATGCTCGATATGCCGCATTGTGCATAGCAGGGCTAAGACTGTATCCCGCTGCGGCCCCGATGATGTAAAACTCCATAGGGTCATATGTAAACGAAGCATATAGAATATGCGTAGCTTCTGTCACAGTAAGCCATGAAGTTTCTGGGTTTCTTTGTGCTCTGGTCTCAAAATCTGCGCTCTTTCGTAGCTTTTCTGGTATCACAGGGGTCAAAACCTGGTTGAAGCAAGCAGAACGCCGGCCAGCGCGTCCGGTGTTGTAACATATTATGGGTATTCTCGGTGACTTGGCGTATATAGTGTTGCGAAATGATTGTATAGCGGCGTTATCGTCCATGAAGTTCGCTGGCCGGGTAAAGCGTACCAGGCTGCAGCCCAATCGCATTGCTGTATCGTATTTCTCGAGCCAGAATACATCGTACCAGTCCATGGCTGCGTGAAGATGGCCAATTATCTTGGTTGAGCCCCTCGACGCAACGATTGCGCGGATCAGCTCCTCGTCCATGGTAAGATCCACTGTGGCGAACTCAGGTGCCATTCGTAGACCGTACCACAAGTTTGCCAGGTAGGACGTTGTGGAATGGCCTGAATGTGCTGAAGGCGGCATCGTGTGAAATATTATCGGGGTCACGGTACTCCTTCGCACTCTGAATATACTCTTGCTTATGTTCTCCGCGTGATCCGCTGTAAGCTGTGCGGGTTCAACAACTATCTCGAATGCGTCACAGCCAAATTCCAGCTCTTCAATGTCGACTTCTTCAGGCGTAAGATCTGATAGTTCAACCTGAACGGCGCATGTGTAATTTCTGAGCTCTAAATCGACATACGATAATGGGAAGTGACCAGGGTCGAGTGTGGGCGCGTCACTCTTGATCTTTCTGCGGGTATTCGTGGGAGATAGGATAAGTGCCAAAAACTTGAAGAAGGTTCTTTCCGCTCGTTTTAGCGTCAGGAAAGCTGGCACAGAGGGCTGGTGTGCAGGTGCAACCGAGAGGTGAGCTGCGTTCGTTTCGGATATGTTGTAGAACTCGTAGTTCGAGCATCGCCGGAAAACCGGAGTACTGAGAGCAAGCAACTCTCGGACTTTGGATTCGTCCGTATCTAAGTATTCGCGTACACTGCGCACGTCTCGTGTAATGTGTATCACTGGGTGCGATGCGGAAAATTCATGCAGTAGAGCTTGGCTACTGCTATCCAGCGGAAATCCTCCGTTGCAGACGATAATGGCGCCTCTGCTGTGGTTTTGTAATGTGTCGCGTAGAATCTCCTCCTGCCGGAGGCTACGATTCGAAGATCCAAACTGTTTGCGGTACGCAGCGGTCGAGAAGCCTGTTGCAGTGTGGAAGACACTTTCCATGTCGATGACCCTTCGCTGGCAGGCTACTGAAGCCATCATTGCCAGTGTTGCTTTGCCTGTGCCATGCATGCCAATGAGCACGATAGACGCCCGTGAGTCAAACATTCTTCGGCATTCGTACTGTGTGGGTGCTGGTGTTGACCTTGCCGAATTCGGTAGACTTCGCTGTTTGGACGCCGGCGGAGATGGTGTTGGCAGCGAAGCTCGCCCGTCCATCGCTCCGTTTTCCGTGTTCATTGCAGCAAATGAACGCTTCGCACCAACCGTCATGGAAGCCATTGTTTACGGGACCTGGAATATAGAAAATTTAGTTCCAAGATGTCAACAACGTGAAGCAGAACATGGTGCTGCAGTTGGCAGCGACGAGTGCCTTAGCGAAACACGTGATAGCGATGGGCCCCGCTTTTCCACGGGGATAAAACTTTATCCTGGTGCGCAGACGCTTCCCCGGCTTTCTCCAGTGCTTCACTAGGTAAGCTCGATGGCGTCTTTAGCAAGATGCTCGACCACCCCATATCTGAGTGATCACCAATCTGCTCTATCGGCAAGGCTCTATGAGGCGCTTTCGTGTTTTCTGTGCGACGGCAAACGATCGCTGCCGAACCCATGTCTTTACAAACCCAGGAGAAACGCCGGCAGGTCACACAAGACATACCGGTAAAACGGTTTCGGGTATCAAGAGCTTGCGATCAGTGTCGCAATGCCCGCGAGAAATGTGACGCGAACCAGCCCAGCTGCTCTCCCTGTCTGGACGCCAAGCGCACGTGTACATACACGTCAAACCCGAAGAAGCGAGGGCTCCAGCCCGGCTACATACGCAGTCTTGAAATGACACTGGCCTTCATTTTCCAACAGCACGCTGAGATTGAGACTTCAGTACACGAGCAACTGGCCCAGGAGAATACGGTCTTGCTAGCGAGGGGTACTAAGGACTCGAATCGTTTGCACAAGAGCTGGACCAAGAGCAGATTTTGTCGAGATGTTACCAAAGCATTGTCCGGAGAGCAGATAGGAGCAAGCGAGGACAGGCCGCCAAGTTCAGACGAAGACAGTGAGGTGGACACTGAAGATGCCACGCTTCTCCAGATGACACCAAAAGCTCAGTCTCAGCATTCGGTACTAGCCCTACGTGCCTATTTTGATGAGTGCTGACTTATGCAGATATCATGGCAAAGTGACACGAACTACGTGCCGCAGGCTATGCGCCCACCTCCATTACCGGACCTTCATTCACCGCGTCTGCAACAATCTACAGGCTCTTCTCCCCTTACCCCCCTGCCTACAGACTGCTGGAGGTTGATTGAGATATACTGCACGTATACACAATGCTGGCTGCCCATCGCGGACAAGCTTGAGATCCTCAAGCTATCGTATTCTTATGCGGAACAAGGTTTGGCTCTGTCAAGCGATATGTCCAACTCGGGAAGTTATGCAGAGATGTGGAGTGTATTTGCAGTCGGCTCTACGCATGATGACGCGAGCCTCGCGGGAGATAGCTATCATCCATGGCCGTCCGGGAGACTTTACGATATCGCGAGGCAACTTATCCCCAATGAGCTAGGCAAATTCGAACTGGGTCACGTCAAGGCCCTTCTCAACCTAGCATTGTTCAACATTCACGGGAAGTTATTCGATGCTGCCTGGCATCTTGTCGGCGGTGCTTTACGACTAGCCCTCATGCTTGCAGAATCGCCAGATGCTGTTACACTTCGGCTCAAGCATGTCATCTCGAGTTGTTTTGTGCTTGACAGTCTCTTGGCCTTACATCTCAAACGGCGCCCGTACCTCGACAGGGCCGATCTTTCGTGGATGGGCAAGATAGAGGAAGATGGCATGGAAGAATGGCAGCCATGGGGTGGGCATCTCAATCTTGGTCCATCACGTCTGTCAAACTCTCCGACACTCGCTTTGAGCACTTTCAACGCTCTCATGGAACTGGTTGACATTCTCCGATGTACGTCTATGGAGCGGACGGCGCCAAACTTTCTACATGAGATGATTGGCCGACTTGAGATGTGGAAGTCAGCGTTACCACCAAAACTCGATTACATTCGGAAAGATCCACCTTCTACACCACCGACCCCACCTGCATTGCTTCTCCGATTCACTTATCTCGTCACTGCGTTTACTCTCGTTCCATCTCAGGCATGGCTTCAGCAGATCTTGGACATGTTAAACATCCTACAACAGCAGCTTGGCGTCACAAGAATGCCAGCTGTCATTACCTGCTTATTACAAAGCATCAAGAGAAGTACCAACAGTCTGACTCTGGATCAACCGACACATACTCGAATTCACGAGTTATTTGCTGCCCTTGGTCACTCATCACAAGAGACCTCGAAGAGAGCATCATCGGGTTTGCGATCGATATCGGTCACTTTAAGAGACGC